GGTTGCGGATCGGCCCCCGCGGGGGGGGGGGCCGCGGGGGGCCGGGAGGGGGGGGGGGGGGCCGTGTTTCGAGTGCGTCTATGTGGTGCATGAGGGGCGTTTTGCGGTGTGTCCCACGGGGAGCGGTGGACGGTAGACGCGGAGTATCCACGGCGGGCGACGGATGGACCGGGCGGTTGGATCGGGCCCGCGTGCCTGGCGACTGGCGCAGACGCAGAATGATCGGCGGCGGAGGAAGGCGTGGATGCCGACGTGTCGGGGGCGAGATATCTGGGAAGCACATTTCGGGGGAGGGAGCTCGGCGGTACACTTGTACAGTAATACTGTACCTCTCCGGGACGTCAGCGCCGCCCGTCTACCGTACAATACCCTCGCGAGGTGGCGGATTCAAGCAAAGTCATGCTACAGAGCTGTACAGAAGCAACCTGCCCAGGCACGTACTGTTTGCACTGTACCCTTGCGGTACAGTATAAACTTTACGCGTCTCTGTACACGGCGTGTGCGTGTACTACACGCTAGCGTGTATAGGGGTGAAACTCCCCGGAGAATAGCGAGTGGCTGTAATTACTATCAGCCAACCGAGCATACCTCATCTCGCAGCCTCGCTGCTCCGTGGTACATATGGCGCCATCGTGAGCCTCTTGCCAGCCCCCCTCTCCTGGCCCATGTCCATTTCTCTTGCCCGCCCAGCCCCGGCTGCGCCGCCCTCTTGGTACTTTCCTTTCTCATCATGTCTTTTTCTCTTTATGTTTTCTTTATGTTTTCCAGTTCGCTTTAATGGTTTGCGTAGCCTTTGTGTGTCCCCTCTTAGCCGATGTCTCGTGACCGACTAGAACCAATAAACTACGAATATCTTCATGTACCGTACCTTCGAAGGTACACGGTGTGCTGTCAGTACACATGGATGGAATCAAAGCGACAGGAGGAAGCAGCGTCACATCTAGCTCTGGGAACAGAACGAGGAAAACCTGTTCACCTCAAACTCAAGTCCTGTACCACCGAACCATGCACTACCATGATTCCCGAACACTCGGATCACACACTCAGTGCCCCGCTCCCCCGACCACTCCCGTACGGTACAGTCTCGCTATTCTTCTCTTGTCTTGCGCCTCGGAATCCTCCTCTCCGTCTGTCTGATAAACGCTCCTCTGAAACAGTTCCCCCTGCCACTCGCAGTGCTTGTCCACCGCTTGCCACCGCTTGCCACCGCTCATATAGACTCAGCGCTATATTAGTAGCGCGAGTCGCTCCGGTGCCCCCTGCTATACATATTCTTTTGTCGACTCTACTCGTTTCCGTACTTCTTTCATATCAAGATCCGCACCGCACCGCCTGACACCTGCTCCGCGCCGATATCCGCTGTATCTGCTGTGCACATGTGGGTGCAACCGTATCGCCTCAGCCGGGCTACAGTTAGCCTGCCCCACCGTCTGTCCCATCTTGCTCCCTTCTTCCGCCCTGCTTTCCAGACGATGGATACACCCTCTCCAATTCATGCCACACTTCCTCGCCAGCACACTTGTCGCTTCCGCCCGTTCTCTATGGCACGTCGTTGCGAAGTGCCCCCACACGTGTGCACGCGTACACGCGTACACGTGTGAACGACAGTGTTTCAGCCTAAACTGCTACTTACGGTATATCTCGCCATCCCGTCTCCTGTTGTCCCTATCGCAATGTTGCCACTTCTTGTGGGTGTAACCGTTTGATACCATATTAGGTTTTTAGACATAAATCGGTTTCTATAATTTTCATTACCCAAACCAGTGATAGTACCACCTCCCCCACAGTTCCCGGGAACCAAAGTAACAAAAACTCACTCAAACCGAAACACTAACACCAACACACGCGGAAAATGGTGCAATTGTCATCTATGGCCTACTGTTGTGGCCGTACTGCGATATGAAACCTGTCCCAACATACTTCGAGACCGAAATCGCGCTTCCATCTGGCAACGTGGTGTTTAATCGCGCCCCTAAGCACCCTATACCATGAAACTCCACAGCGTAATTCAGCAAGTTCTGTTTGAGCATATCAGCAATGGCGTTCCTCTCTCCGTTGCTGCAAGAAACATGACATTGCTGTCACGAATGGCAGTGTTGAGCGGAGAACTGGGGATAGACCCTTGATCACAGTGTGAGAACCGGAGACTTCCTTTCTTTACTGATGATGTTATGTCTCTGTCCATCGTAGCCGAGTGGCTACCTATTTTATACCCAAAGTTCCGCTTGCAGATTACCACAGAAGTGTGGGTCCGCGAAACCAGTAAACTGTGGCCCAGATGAGTAGTAAGAGCCTATACTATATTCTAGACACCTTAGTTCGCCTTGGAGCTCATATTACGAGAGAAGTAAGGCTTGTACAGGTACTCGAACCAGCGTAGAAATTATTCTATCGTAAACCGGCCTTATTAAGGTACTACGAGGGAGAGGACCATTTAGATTCAGCGTAGAAAAAAGAAAATCAATTCGATCAGATCTGGAGATATCAAAGCATACGAGAGTATATAAGGAATATCAACACTCCTTCTTGCTCTGTATAATGGCTGGTAGTCTAGACACACCGAGTGTCTCTCGTTGAGCTTCGAATTTGATTCTCCCGAGTGGCTTCGTAAAAATATCAGCTCGCATCGCCGAGGTGGGACAGTACTCCACGAGAGCGAGTCCATCCTCGACAATTTGTTTAACGAAGTTTTGCCTGATAGCGACGTGTTTCGCCTTTCGAACTCCTTCCGTGCTCCATACAATCGCACCCTGATTGTCCTCCATTAACTTTGTAGGCGCATGTTGTTCGCAATCAAAGTCGGAAAGAAGAGCTCGGAGCCAGACGAGAAGCATTCCGGCCTCACTCAAAGCCACATACTCTGCCTCAGTGGAAATCATTGCCACTGTCTTCTGTTTCATCGTCTTCCAAACAACACTTGCCGAACCCATCTGGAAAAGTATGCCGCTTGTGGACTTGCGGTCATTGCGATCGCTGGCCCAATCGGAGTCTGAATAACATACCAGGTCCTCATCTTTTCCGGAAATGCGAAGGGAGTATCTCGTAGTACCACGTAGGTACCTAAACACGCGTTTCACAGCAATCCAATGGTAATGCTGAGGGTTGGAAGAACTTCGAGCGAGAATGCTTGTAGCGGCGGATATGTCCGGTCTTGTACGAGTTGACAAGTACAGTAGAGAACCGACGGCCCCTGATAAAGAGTCTGATCTGGGGCTTTTCCTGCAGCTAATGCAGCTGAGCTGCTTGCATTTTCCATAGGGGTAGACACAGGCCTGCATTCAGACATTCCAAATCGATTGAGGACTTGAATCGTATAGCGTTCTTGGCAAAGCCAAGCTTCCGTGTCAAAACGAACAAATGAGGCTCCCAAAAAGTGCCTCAAAGGACCCAAGTCCTTCATCTCCAAATGATACATCAATTTCCATTTAACTTTCTTGAGTGCTTCTTCGCTGGCACTCATTACAATCACATCATCCACATAGAGCAAACTCCAAGTACCA